TTTGAATCCAAGTGGTGAGTCTGCTGAATTGTGGGCTCGTATCGGAGAAGAGCTGCGACGTCGGCCTCCAGAACATATCATTGTACTCTGTGTCAATTCACATATGTCGGCTGCTGAGGCAGTAGCTGCAGGAGTTCCGAGTTGGTTAGTATGTGGGAATACCATGGCTGATGTTGCTGCTGGAGAGGCGGCGAAACTGGCCAGGTTGCCCCAGGGAGATCGAGCCCGTGTGGCACAGGTGGAGCAGCGGGCCTTCTTGGTACGCATGCGGTTGCTACGAGCGACCATCGACGCGATGGCGGCCGAGGAGGCCCTCGCGAGGGCCCAGAAGGACTGCCGCAGAGGGGCTATGAGTGAGGGAGGGCTCCTTTCTCCTCCTCCTCCCCCTCCACCTCCTGTGCAGCTTTGCTTGCCGCCGCCGTGCCCCGAGGCTGTGTCCATCCTGTCCAGTTCGCACGCCCTGGACGAATCGGGGCGTCGGTGCCGCAGATGTCGTGGCTCTGCGTCGATATCCGAACGGAGAGTGTGGAGAGCGTCGCCGTGATTCAAGCTTGTGGCTCTGGACTGTGCGTTGAGAACCCTTCCCCAGGGGGCGGAGTTGCACATCGCTGGGGGGTGGGTGCACGGGTCTCACAAGCTAAGATATCATCAAGATGTCGATGTGTGGTTTTGTGCTGTGTGTGGCATGTTTGCTGATCAGCAGCTGCTTGGGTTGGGGAAGCAATGCGTGTATAAGACCACCCCGACTCGAGCTGGCTATTTAGCTAGAATCCGTGATTCGTTGTGGCCCAAGGCCTTTACGGCTGCTCAGAGGGCCACGAGAGCCCTGAAGGGGCTCCCCGTTTAAGGCGTCAGGGATGTGGACATCGTCCAGGGACTCTTACTCTTACTCTTACTTTTACTCCTCCTCCTCCCCCTCCTCCTTCTCCTCCTCCTCCTCCTCCGCCTCCTCCTCCTCCTCTTCCTTCCTTCCTCCTCCCTCCTCCGCCGTCGTGTCGTCTCATCCTCCGCCTTCTGCTCCGAGCCGCCGCCAACCGACGCCCTCGAGCACGGCCGCCCGCTCGAAGAACGGCCGGCGCGTTTGGAAGAGGGGGTGGGCGGGAGAAGTTGACGGGGGGGGGGAAAGCAGCACGCCTCCCTGGGACTTGTGAGGCCCAAGGATCGGCGAACGGCATTAGGATCAAGATCAACATTATGGGCGGGGAGGAAGAGGAGGAGGGCGACGAGGATGAGGAAGAGGAGGAGGGGGAGACAAGAGAGAGAAGAAAGGACAAGCTAGGTGCGCTCGCGCCATATCTGACATCCGACTTCTCCCAACCATCCCTTGCCATTGCGCAGAGTTGTTCTCTACCCGCCGACGCGTGTCATCGCGGACCTCGAACTCCAGAAAAGGACTCCATCGTGTTATGCGCATTCGGACAAGGGGAGCTGCGTACATTGGAGGAGTAGGAGGAGGAGGAGGAGGAGGAGGAGGAGGAGGAGGAGGAGGTGGCAGATGAGCAAGAGGATGAGCAGGAGGAAACGGAGGAGGATAAGGACGAGCATCAGCAGCAGGAGCTGGAGTGAACGGAGCGGGAGGAGCAGGACGACCAGGGGAAAGAGGAGGAGGGGAACGGTAGGGGGCGACGACGGTGAGGAAGGACTCGGATCCAGAAAACTGGCCCGCCCTGGGCCGAGAGCGCCGCGGGCGAACCCCATGCTGCGGTGACCAGAGCTGCTGGCGGGGCGCTGCCGCGGTGCTTGCTGGCGGCACCACGGGAGGGGTCTTCGTGGAGACCCCCGTGCGCAGCGTGTGGCGGCCAGTCAGCGCGCCCGCGAGGCCGCTGACGCTGCTGTTCGCAAGCCCACCGTGGACCTGACGAAGGCGCTCGCCAAGGTGGATAGGTTGGAGTCGGAGCTGGATGTTGCTCGGTCTTCCCTCGACGTATCCAGAACCGAGCTGGCAGGACGCGCTGACCTGGCCCTGCTGGTTCTGCAGATGGGGATTTCGAGGACCAGGATGTGCCGCGGCTCCAACAGTCCAAGCCCAACGCGGCCTAACACAAGCCCGAGTTGTTGCCGACCTCATCGCTGGCTCCACGTAGCGCCAGCTCAACAGCCTCCAACGGGGCCAGGATGGCAGTGCACCGCCTCGCCGCGCTGGAGCTTGTGGTGGAAGAACTGGCGAGCAGCGACGGGTCAAGGCATCGGCGGAGCTAGCGTCGGAGGCCGTGTCTGAGCAGAGCATGCCGTGCACGTGCGGGGCCGTCGTCTTCTCCTCCCCTGCCGAGGCGGAGCTGGCAGGCCCCGAGCAGGTGCCGCAGTGGCATGGGATGGAGGCAGTGGCAGAGAGCATCCTCAGGGCGGAGGCCGCGTGCTTCTTCCCGCCGGAGGAGGTGCACCGCCAGGTCGTTGCACTCCATCCTCGGGCTCCTCGCGACGCTCTGGCTCAGCCTCTTGTGGGCGGCAGGGGCCGAGGCCGACCACATCGAGCCGATCGAGGCCCAAGCGGTGTGCTGGG